ATCCCGCATTGCAGTGGTTGAAAGAGATCAAAGCGCCTTCAGGCAGATTGTTTCGATGGAGGTTACGATTGTCAAGATACGAATATGAGGTCCGTAGCATAAATGGAGTACAACAATATGAAACGGGCGTTGGAACTCGTATCCCATTTTGTGGCTTTCTAGATGCGCCACTCATACAGAACCAACAGTCTTCTCCACCGGGAAAATCTCGCGTGACTATAGATCACAATAAACTGCGCACCGTCTCCCGAAAAGGAATACTTAAAACTATAGTCCCAAGTTCACTTACAGCTAGACTTCTTAAGTCCGTACACACACAACACCACCACCCAAACATCTCCAAGATGACGAGGCTCATCTCAGCACAATATTATTGGCAGAACATGACACAAGACATCGCAAAACAGGTAAAAACCTGTCCCACCTGCCGATTCGCTAGAAGAATCGATGAATACAACCAACCTTCACGTAAAAATACCGACACAGGCACCAAAGCAAAACAAAATTCGTACATAAAGCACAACGTACACACAACACAAACAATGCCAAAATTACCACATTCACATCAGAGAAACGATCACACATCTCAACCTAAACCAATTACCGCCGACATATCTCTAATAAAACCATTGACGATCAAACAGGAGAACTGTAAACCTGACAATCAGCTCAATCATATCACACCACTCCCTAAAGATATCAAACAAGAGAACTGCGAACCTACCAATCATTCAAATTCTACAATTCATAAGGTTCAAGCAAATATTTCAGAGTCCCCAGTTACAAAAATGTGGACGAACATGGGGCAATATCCTATATTTCATCTGATTCTTATCCTTTGTTTGTTACTTCTGCCATACAACTGTATCCCAATTTTAGTCATCAATTACTTGTTTATCTATGCTATGCCCGATCAGAAAATCTTCGAACTACAAGAGGTAGTTTTTAATTTAGGACAAGCATTTTTTAATTTTGGACAAACAGTTTTTCATTGTGGACAAGCAATTCTTCATTGTGGACAAGCAATTCTTCATTGTGGACAAGTATTTATAAAACTTCTCATAATTTTAGGAACCATCTTCGCAGAAAATCTAAATAAACTCCGAAGAGATAGCAGTAACTGAAAAGATAACCAACCAGTGTCGGAGAAATCACGCTCCAAAAACAAGCCCTGAACCGCACCAAAAATAAATAGACGGCAGGAAATGAGATTTGAAACACCACGACAGGAAGTATAGTCCACGGAGGTTAAATTCGGCCTCTGTAAACAAAGCGGAGCGCCTTCGTCCGATCTCCAATTTCCCTCCCTCTCGTTTGCCCGACACACCCCACTTCCGTATCTCTAATTACAATGAGAAGATCCCCTATTGAGGTCGACTGGGAACCTCACTATGCCACCGGTTTTGATTCCAGTTCGAGTCTACATATCGATTTTTACCAACCAATTACACATCCACGAAACAACACCTAGAACTAGCTCACACATCTCTTACACAACCGACTTCTAACATTTTTCACAACACACACACAAAGACAAAAAATTACACATAAAGGTTATATAGATTTCCATGTCTCCTGTACACACAGCATAAACGCACTTGAGGGCTAGAATCACGTTTTTCACCTAAGTGTCACTACAGATGAGACAAAAAATTTATAGGGCATAATTGAACAAGTAAAACATTTATAGGGCAAAATGGAGCAATCAATACATGTAGATCAGGGCATGTAGATACCAAAGGGTTCCAACCAATACACCTTATTTTCATATCAATCATTTTCATTATTTTCTCTCAATTAAAATTTAAATATTTAATCAATTTATCAATTTATTCAACTTATTACCACTTTTAATCATTAATTATCATTTTTTTCCAATTAGTTATATTATCATTTTCATTTATCAATTATCATTCTACTTACCACTTGATTTATATTACCACAACTCAATTATAAACGAAAACTCACTGACTTTCGATTAAACTAAAAACATTAAATCACCCTTTGTTGTTGAAATCTTTTTATTTTTCATTTTTCTTTTTTCCAAGCACTCTACTTTGATTTCGCTCAAAAAACTTTTATTTTATTTTTATTTTTGATTTCTCAAAAGACCTAATAGAATTCCCTCGGTCTTCATTCCCAATTCCGAGCTAGAATATAATTAGGCATTTTTCCTTTTTTTTCTCACCACGCACCAAGCATTCACTTTGATTTCTTCCAACTTTTTATTTTTATTTTACTTTGATTTCTCAAAAGACCTTATGAAATTTCCTCGAATTCCTTTCCAAAATTCAAGCAAAAAAGTAATTAGGCATTTTTCCTTTTTTTCTCACCACGCACCAAGCATTCACTTTGATTTCTTCCAACTTTTTATTTTTTTTATTTTTGATTTCTCAAAAGACCTAATAGAATTCCTTCGATTTCATTCCCAATTTCGAGCTAGAATATGGTTAGGCATTTTTCTTTTTTTTTTTCTCACCATTCAACCAAACACATTCAATTTTGATTTCATTCAACTATTTTTATATTATTTTTATTTTGATTTCAAAGCCTAAATAGAACCCCCTCGAATTCATTTCTTAACTCGAGTAGAATTCGTTTAGGCGCATTTTCTTTTCTTTTAATCCACTATGTACCATAACATTCCTTGATTTCTTACAATTAAAAATTTTTGATTTCTACTAATTATACTCAACCTATATCATCAACACCATTCTATTTTACTTTTATATTACCAGCAATGTTTGTATATAGCCCCTCCATACCCACAACTAATTTTCCCACAAAATTATTTTTCACTTTACAGAATTCTCTCAGGCTAACCCCTTCTTGAATTCTTCACATGTAGGGGGCGCATCTGTCATAATTTGTATATAATTAAATGCAACCCCGACCCACTATGTATATATCATGTATGATTTTCAAAGACTTAATAAAGAACAAGGTAACTGGAGGAAAGAAAGTAACAAAAGATATAGGAAGTAAGACTAAAGCTGGCACGACTATTTTGGCACCCCTGTGTCAACATTGCAGGGGCAGAGACCGGACGTCTCTAGTGACCGCAGAAGTTATTTTAGCCAAGATGCACTCAATACTTCCGGCAAAAACAGGACGTATCTAATATCCGTCGAAGCTATAAGCGTCAAGATACCCAATACTTCCTGACGAAATCGGATATACCAGGCAGGCCATCTTTCATCAAGGAGAGCCGCCGGCCAATTAGGGAGGAACCACTAAGTAGGTCAACCAATAGGAAAACACCATGTGATCATATCTCAACCAATCAGAGAGAAACTGAAGCTTGGTGTTAAATCGAAAAGCAAGAAATAGCAGTTACGCTTTGGCTCCCAAGGAGGTGACATCGGCTCTAGACCTCTCCCCCTCTGCTCATCCCACAGCTAAGTACAATCACCGCCATGTGATCAGCTAATTAATAAGTCAAATCGCTCAGCTCTTATCAAACTTTCTTTCCTCCAACCCGTTGCTTTTATTTTCAAACCTCATCATGTGTCCTGATTATTCCTAACTGTGTGCTTCACTTACCACTCAACGACTGCGCTTCAACCAATCCTCATCATTCAAATCCAACAACAAGAAACCCCGCAACGATATTGCCACATACAAACATTCATTTTTATATATATAGAAGATATAATATAAATGAGTTTTAAAAATTGTTAAAAAAAAATGCATCGGCCGGGAATCGAACCTGGGCCGCCCGCGTGGCAGGCGAGCATTCTACCACTGAGCCACCGATGCGTATACAAAATGGCCATATTTGGGTATTCATTCCATTCCGGATTACTCCGCGTAAAAAAAAGTTCTTCAAATGAAAAAAAGAAATAGCCAAAAATACTAAGCAAATTGTATCCAAAAATTTTCCTCAGGTTTATAAAAAGCGACATGCAAAATTTGGTACCAATTGGTTCAGTAGTTTTTGAGTTTATCGCGAAACAGACAGACAGACAGACAGAAATTGACTTTTATATAGATATAGAGATAGAGATTAGTGTTTAGGTATTTGATTTAATTCATATAGTTGATATAATAGTATTTTAAAATAAAACTACAACCCCCCCCCCTTTCGCAATTAGTTTCTTTTATTGCGAAAGGTTGTAGTTTTATTTTAAAATTTGTAGCGCAATTTTTTCGTTTACTTCAAATATAATAGTATATATTTATATTATACTAGCGGATGTGCACCCGGCTTCGCCCGGGTTTTATCTGAGTGAAAGTTTGCCTAACGAATATTATTGAAAATAATTTTCCGGAACATAGACTATTATGATAATAATATTCATTACATTATATTTTTTATTATATATTTATATAATACGAATGGCCCGGGCAACGCCCGGGTTTTACCCGAGTGCGTATATATTTTAAAAACGTTTTAATTCAAATACTATTCGTTACAATTATAAATTGGCGCCATGGATGTCACTCTTGTGAAACGTCCCGTTCCAAACTGTGTGTTTTTAAAATGTTTTAATTAAAATACTATTCGTTACAATTATAAATTTGAACGATAGGCTCATTATTTCTTTATACCGTTATTATACCGTTATATTATATATATTATATTTATTATATATATATATATATTACACGTTATTTGTTTTCTTGGCCGACTGTTTTACATATGGTGTTATCTTAAAATTGCTTGTTTTGAATATTTTTTAGATTGAGATTATTAGCTAGTATGTAAAAAAATTAACTCTGTTGAAATTTAATTTTGTATTTATATATAAATAAAATTAACTCTGTTGATTTTTTTTTTGTATTTAATCGATAACAGCGAAGTTACGCATGTTAATGTTAGGGAAAAATATTTTGATGTTAAGCAAAACCTGCTCCATCTCGTTTTACATAAATGTTGAAAATTTGGTCGAAATTGATGCATTGTAACGAAAGTTTTTAGTGAACAACACTTATGAAATTTGCATTTTATTAATATAGATTTTTTATAAATTAGTTTTAAAAATTGTAAAAAAAAAAAATGCATCGGCCGGGAATCGAACCCGGCCCGGGTGGCAGGCGAGCATTCTACCACTAAGCCACCGATGCGTATACAAAATGGCCATATTTAGGTATTCATTCCATTCCGGATTAGTCCGCGTAAAAAAATAGTTCTTCAAATTAAAAAAAGAAATAGCCAAAAATAATAAGCAAAATGTAGCCAAAAATTTTCCTCAGGTTTATAAAAAGCGACATGCAAAATTTGGAACCAATTGGTTCAGTAGTTTTTGAGTTTATCACGAAACAGACAGACAGACAGGAATTGACTTTTATATATATAGAGATAGAGAAAGGAAAAGGAAGGAATATATAAAAATTAAAGCGCATTACTAATTTTGTATACTGATGATAAAATTACAATAAATCGTACCTTATGGACATACCTTATAACAGATAAATTGTCTGGTCCCGTGAGAAGTTGTTATAAAGAGAGCATTATTATTATATCTGTTGTTTTGTTTTATTTGGACTTGTTGTGTTTTTGGCCCAATACACTCATGGACAAAAGTTAAGGAAGTTGTACCTTTTGGCATGTATATCGGGATTCAGACAATAACTCTGAAAGATAGTTGATACATGGTGACCTTTATTGAAAACACACGAGATAAATAAGTGTGAACAAAATTGCCTCCGTCTCCTTAAAAAAAAATAAAAAACTTTGCGCTTCCTTAAGTGTTGTTGATTAGTGTTTATGCCCACAATCGTGGAGATCGCGGGGCCTATTAAGGATGTCTAAGTTGAGCCTGATCGTAATCGACTTCCTGTTGCTGAGGCTTGTAACGGCAAAACTGCGGCAGCCTTTATCACAGGACGCACACCAATGGGAAGTTGTGACCCTGGGAGTCAGATGTGCCATCAAACTGTATAATTTTCCCCTATCTCTTCATCTCTCTCTAAAAATAAAATAAATGTATATCGGCTCTATAGTTGTATATATTTTTCTTTCTTTTTCTTGTTGAGAGTCCAGTATTTTTCTTTCTCTTCCCATAATTTACAGGAATCTGTACATTAAAAAGGAAGCAGGTGAATATATATAACTGTATATCAAAATAATTATATAGATCTATATGTAAATATTTCCTATAAAACTTGAATTATTCAAATTTATTTCTCCCTCTCTTTTCTAAATTCACTGCATTATATTTAAGGAGAATATGCATATAGGACTAAAAAGGCATATACAAATGTCCTGGTGTGGAACTAACACCTACCCACATATTCTCATGCCCAGCAATGGCCGCAGCCTTGCAGAAAATTGACATGGACCCAGAGCAGCAGCTTTACCAACCCAAGATAGTGGACATTGCTGCTGCTGTGATAGAGATGCGTGGAGATATCTGAGGCTCTTCATTGGTCATGACAACAACAACAGAAAATTGACATGGACCCAGAGCAGCAGCTTTACACACCCAAGATAGTAACATTGCTGTTGCTGTGATAGAGATGCATGGAGACATCTGAGACTCTTCATAAGTCATGACAACAACAACAACTAAAAAGATATTAACAAAGGTATTGATGTATCATCACTTGTGACAATAAAGACGCCACCTAAGTATTACAGGTACATCGGTGTTCATGATGCCAACTTCTTGCGTGTGGGCGAAAAGTCCTGAAGGAATTCAACAGTATTTTGGTACGATGAAGGTATTCAAGTTCTGTCAAATCAACGTGAGACGCTCTGCCGTGTGCTTTCTGTATTAAATGATGGATTATAGACCTGGATCTGTAATTTCTGGAAGAGTTCAAGTAGGATATGTCATGGTTCAATCGTGACAACACACTGAGATCTATGGTAAGACAAGTAAATCCAAACCTGAACTTCGTACACCTGCTACATTTGGGGTGTGAAGGTGCAGCTCATGTCATGTGTGAGTTGAATGGTATCTCAAGTTTTTCTTTGTTCTGCTTATCCCTCGCCATCACGTGACTGCACCGTCTTCTTGATAAGATAGAAATTAGCCCCCAATTTTGACGAGGTCGTATTTTGCTTATCTTTTAACGTCAAGTCGTCTAAATTGTCGGAAAAATCCCAGGCTATATAAATACTCCACATCCTGGAAAAATAAGTTTGAGGATTTCATTGAAGTTAATTTACCTCACGTGGAATGCGACTTCTTTCTCCGATGTCATTTGTTGCTCGTGGACAATATTACTGATTTAATATTTTACACAAATAAATTTACTGGCAATGCGTTTCTTTTTTTAAATCTCTACAGACCTTACTGCAATGATATGATTTAATGAAGGAGAGGGCTTGGCTCATCAGTAGTGAACCCTCTCAGCGGTTTCGCCAAATTAATCTCTAGACCGCTCTACTATTGTATTGAACTGGTTTTGTTATATACCCTGCATTTTCTATGGAAGGCAGCTAAATGGTGTTTAGTGAACTATGGACATAAGCTTATAGGTCTGTAGAGGTACATACATATAAATTTCAAGGTATTGCATCGAGCAAAGCTCTTCCGCGCAAAACATGTTTTCATAACCATTATATATTAGTAAATTAAATTTTATTGCCCTCTATCGTTAATATTTTACACAAATAAATTTACCGGCAATGCGTTTCTTTTTTTAAATCTCTACAGACCTTACTGCAATGATATGATTTAATGAAGGAGAGGGCTTGGCTCATCAGTAGTGAACCCTCTCAGCGGTTTCGCCAAATTAATCTCTAGACCGCTCTACTATTGTATTGGATTGGTTTTGTTATATACCCTGCATTTTCTATGGAAGGCAGCTAAATGGTGTTTAGTGAACTATGGACATAAGCTTATTTGTCTGTAGAGGTACATACATATAAATTTCAAGGTATTGCATCGAGATTTAAAAAAAGAAACGCATTGCCAGTAAATTTATTTGTGTAAAATATTAACGATAGAGGGCAATGAAATTTAATTTACTAATATTACTGATTACACCACCACATTTATCTGGTCATAAATACCTTAGTCTTAAACTTCACTCCTCTTCCTCCTTATATATGATATTATATAATATTTAAATTAAACAAATTTAGCGATGGATATACTTCGGGTCCAGTCGTTCCAACTGGGATGCATTTTATAATCATTTCAGCACCCAGAATAAATTGAATCAATTTGTCAATTGAAAGTACGATTGAGAGACGCCCTCCCTTGATGCAGTTAATGAGCTTTTAAACGATGAAGTGTTTCACTTAGGCCTACAAAATTCCCCTCCTATTCTTAAACTAAATAAAAATAAAGCAATTTTTTAATAGAAACCCAGTTTGAATTCACTCAAGGGACAATATAAAAAGACGAGGACGTGTGGCATGACAGTAACCTATATGGCTTGGTATAAAAGTACGAAGACGCCCATAGATAGGAATCTGGAATCGCCAAGAGGGCCCTTGAGGTCTTCCACAGAAAACTTCATCCAAGATATATATTGCCACATATAAAATTAGGAAAGTTAAACTCTAGGATGACAGCAATTTATTCAAGAACAAACTATGAATGATAAACAAAAGATAAGCAATGAGGGAAGTTTACTGAGTAGTAAAATATAAACAAATAATAAATACTTTGCTACAATATCCACAATAATGAGGAGCAGAGAAAGGCCTGTTCGCGTTGAGAAGTAATATACACACACTCCATAGGAAAGTATTTACAATTCCATCAAGAAAAAGGTAAGCGAACCCCACTTTCAGCACTCCCAGTTAGAAATGGCGTCACTGAAAGTCCACAGGATACTTGAGAACACGTAGTGGATCCTTATCTCGGTCACCTCCCGTCCAACACCTTACAATAACGTATAAATTATGAAAAAGGCATCTCCTTATCGTGCAACTGAAAGTTACTGATGGCTTGCGCCATCTATCAGAATAAATATCAATTATTCTCATTTATTTTTAATTATTCCAAATTTGCCGAATACCCATTCTTGATTAATCAATCAGGAGATGAAATTTTCATCATTTATGCATCTTTTCCCAGTACAATATCACATTTGTACTATTTTTTCACAATAACGTATACGTTGGAATACGTCGCCGGTTTCTGATAACGACCCTCTTTCCACGGAGCTGCTGTTAGCGGCTGAAATGGTGAGATTATATTCTAGTCCTGGCAGTAATGCCATGTCATCAATATTGTCTCTCATACTAAAATAATGATAATAATAATAATACAAGATGGTTCACAAGTCCCGAAAATTTTTATTTTTTAATTAAAAATTAAAAGGTTAACTAGAATAAAAACTAATAAGACACAATTTGGATTATTCTATATACAGTTACGAGCGTCATTCTTCGTCGCCTCTGTTACGGTTTGCTTTTTTTTTTTTGAATGGCGCCCTCCTATTGGTCGGCTACGATCACGCTACCTTTGCCCCCCCCCCATTTTTGTAACTATTGTGTCGGAGCGGGTCGCTCCTTAAATAAATGCATATATTAGTTAATAACCAAATGGAATCCTCTCTTTCTTTTTCCCAGTAAGAGACGCCTACGGAAGCCAACAGGACATAGACAGATAAAGCACATAGGCTATAGTTATTAACTAACATATGCATTTATTTAAGGCGCCAAATTATAATTGTAACAAATAGTATTTGAATCAAAACATTCAATCGGGTAAAACACGGGCGTTGCCCGGGTCATTCGGCTAGTATATTATAAACACAAGGTAATAAGACTAAATCCAAATAAATAGTATGTGACATTTCGGTAACAGTGTTGTTGCCATCTTCAGACAAAAGTACTGAATCTATTTAGTATCATTCAGTAAAATCTACTATTCAGTACTTTTGTCTGAACTGTAACAACGCTGTTCCCGAAACGTTACACACTATTTATTTATTTGGATTTGGTCTTATTACCTTGTGTTTAGAATAAAAAATCTAACTATTTAAAACTTTAACTTTTATTATTATAAATTCTGATTGCGCTTTTAACTATTTCCAACAAGGGCCTGACAACAAGTTCTATCCCTGTGTAAAAAGGGAGCACATTGTTCTCACCCGAGGTTAAAGCACTTCACTCCAACCAATCACAATGGTGTTCTCGAGCATGTAATCTAGACCAG